GAACCAAATCCCAGTGGATACCAAGGGTCCCCCTATGTATCCACATTTTTTTTAAAAAAAAAAGCCTCAGATTGAGTACATTAAAGGAGGAAAAAGATGCCATATTGAGATTGCATATGGATCTGTTGAAGGCAGTCTCTGAGTTCCGTTATGTGTGTGGGTCTTGGTTTGCTATACCATAGCAGCCAGAGTTCAGCAGTGTAACTTTTTTGCACAACAACTCCCAGAATTTCCCAGCTGGCAAGGGGTTTCTGAGAGTTGTAGTGCAAAAAGCAACATGTCTGAGCTCTTTGCTGCAAGTGATGTCTTGAAACTGGTCTGGGGTGACCCGATGTCATAACCGCAAAGAAGTGCAAAGCACCACAAAATGTAGAACATTCAAGAAAAATGTAAGACATTACCAGATAAAAACTAAGAACACTGTTATAAATATAAATGCATGCTTTTTAGTCATGTTCTAAATGAAGGACATTTTGGAATTCCTCTTGAACAGAAGGTTGAAATGTAGGATGTCCTGGAAAAGGAGGGTGTCTGGTCACCCTGAATTGGTGCCTACTCTGGAAGTCCAAGATCATTGCTTCATCAACTGTGTTCAGTTTGGGCCAGTCTCGAATCACAGTGGATTGAGAATATATGCAAATGCAAGGCATGAGACCTATGCCAAAAGCAGTGGCTGATCCTTGCCCATTCATTGCCTTGCAGAGCCTTGTGGGCTCTGAAGGCTCCCTGACCCTTTTGAGGAATAGGAATGAAGCTCCAAGTGCCTTGTCATTTGAACACAATCACACTTAGGACCTTTTTCACTCACAAATCTCTGTTCCAAGCCTGGGATGTACAATAGTACAATGCAGTTGCTTTTTACAGTTTTAACTGATTTTAACTATGTGTGTTTATGTTTCAATATTAATAATGTTTAATTATTTTTTAACTTTTGTAATTCATGTCTTTACTTCTGTCTTTTAAAATTATTCTGTCTTTTAAAATTATTACAACCTGCTTTGAATCCTTTTGTTGGAGAAAAGTGGGATATAAATCCTTGAAATCAATTAATAAAACAAATGATAATTCTTCAGCAATGAAAACTGTTCTACTCCAGCTGGTTGTGAGAAGAAGACTACAATTTCTAGCTGTGTCACAGCCATTGGATCATAGTAGTCTGTCATTAAAAGAATATTAACGTTGAGGCGGCAGTTCTTAATACTGTAGTGTTTTCCTTTTCCCTCTTCATTCTCTTTTCTTTTTATGTCAAGTCTGCTGGCATTGTTCTGTAACCAGTTTGTGAGTCTTTCCATTTGAAGAGTAAGGTATAAGTGCTGTGAAATAGGGATGGGGAAGGGGCCAACCCCCCTTTCCCCCTGCAGCCCCCTCCCACAGCATGGCAAAGTAGCTCCTTTTTTTGGAAGTAGCTCCTTTTTTGTCAGAATCCCTCCCCAAATACAATTTTTTTGCACATGGAGGGCATTCTGTCTTGTTTTCAGTTAAAAATGGGATGGGGATGGGAATTGGGATAATAAGCACAAGGCTTGGAGGGGCACAAAAGTAGGGTTTGGGGGCTGATGCAGCCTTATTTTTTGACCTCTGCCTTTAAAAATATCCTTCTTTTTCCTGTCTTGTGCTAGGCGTCAGAAGTGTTCCCTAAGTGCCTTGCAAGCAGGTTGCTATATTTTATGTAGGCACAACATCTAATAAAGATGTGGAATTCTGCCTGCTGTAAAACTTAGTTTTTATTCTTTAAATCAGAGTTATGACGTTTGGGAGGAAACCAGAGAGGAGACTGTACAAGGCTTTCAGTGGTCAGGAAACTGGACTTTAGGTTTAAGTCCAATTCCTAGTCCTGACTAGCACAGATCCATGAATCAATGGAATTTTTAGAAGTATTGCAAAATTCTGAGTAATTCCATGAGTGTACTCTACTCAGGACTAGGAATTGAATTTAGGTCTCTAGCTGTTTCTCCCACCCCATGACTAAGAAGTCATGCATGATATTTGATGCATGCAAATTGGGCTCACTTTGCATAATTTATCCAAGTCATTGTTTTTCAGTATTTCTTGGCTCAGAATATAGTATACCTTGGAAGAGAATTTTGGTGTTTTGTTTTTTTTAAAGTAATGAGTGTGTACAGTCCTGTTTATAAGTGCCTGCCAAAAAGGGCCTGAAATCACTCAACCACACCCTACATGGTAACCAAGATGTGTGGGTGGTACTCCCGTCCTGGGCTGTCTGAGTGCTGGAGGAAGATGTGGCATTGTAGAACATTTTTTTTCCATGGAGATCTTTTCTTTCATTCTTAGGATATTATTTTGAGAAGTGTTCTTGTGGAAGGACATTGTGGAAGTGTTCTTTGGGATAGGCTGGTTGTGCTAGGGAGCTCACCATTTCTTGCAGCAAGGTAGTGTTTATTGTCTTCAGAGCATATTTTTTTACATTTAAAAGTAAAAGTAGACTTGCTGTGGAATCCCTCCATGCGGCAAGGGGTTCTAGGATGTACACTCATTACTTGGGGCCAGTGGTAAGCCTGTTGAGTTTCATCCTGCTGTGATTATGCCACGCACCCTATATACCTTTGCTGTATTATTATTATTACTATTATTATTATTGAGTATTTATATCCTGCTCTTCAGCCAAAAGGGCTATCAGAGAGGCTTAAAAATGGTTAATTAGACATTTTCCTGCCCTCAGGCTTACAATCTAAAAAGACAAGACACAAAAGGAGAAGGGAATGGTTGTGGGGAAGGGGACTAAGTCTAGCGGATCTTCTCTCTCTCTGAAGCCTGGACCAAGGCAGATGGACTGGAGGGAGGGAATAAGTTAGTAGTGGTGGGCAAGCGGACTTTCTAAGGCAGGGTGGGGAAGCTGATGGTCCTGCAGATGTTGTTGGACTGCAACTTTTATCAGTCCTAGCTGGCCTAGGCAATATGAAGGCTGGTAGGAATTAGAAGCCAAAAACATCTGGATGGCCACAAGTTGCCCACTTCAGTTTAAAGAGAAACTAATATGTCATTTTGTATCTTCTCACTGAGAAATCCCAAGAATGTCATAGAAGGCTTTTTTGTTCTTAAATGCAGTAGCAAGATCAGCAACAAGCTGGGCCTAGGATAATGATCTCCAGTTTACCCATTCATTTTACATCAGTGCTGGCTTCTACAATGGAGAGTGACTGGAGCACAAGGAGGGTTCCTGCTTATTTGGATGCCTATATTTGTAAAATACATAAACATGAAGGGGTGGGGAACCATGAGACTTTGACAGTGAGACCATTTCAGGAAGCTCTTTGATGTGATTAATATGGGAAAAGAAGGCTTAGATTATCATCTGGTGTGTGCGTGTGTGTGTATGTTGAGAACAGATTCCTAAGGTGTCTTAGAAGGGAAGCTGCTAATCAAATTTGAGAATATATGACTTGGGAATATATGATGGTACTTTTAGAGGATATTGTTTTAGTACCATCTGTTTTCAGTGTTTTTCTATAATGCACCTTTCCCCAATCTCATGCCCTCCCATCATCCCTAGTCAGCATGGACATTGGACATTGTAATTCACTATCAGGAGGTTCCTAGGAAAACTGCTGTGGTCAATATTCAAAGGAACCTTTGGGTGACTTGGAATGACCGCTTCAGTTCACTGTCTGTGTCCCTCATAGAAAAAGAGAAACATTTTCTTTCTATAGGTTCCAGGAAGCGTTGAAGATACTTTGAACTATAACTATTCATTTACAATTGAGGGAATGTGCTGTTCTTGTTTCAAAAGTAGTCATCTGTGATTATTAGCCTCTAAATAAGGAGAGCATTTGAATATATCACTTAGAGTCTTCATCTCTTGATTCAGTCATGCCTGAAGAAAGGAAAAGAATGTGTGACTCCCAGAGTTACTACTTTTTTACAAACATAGCCAGGTGGAGGTCACATTCAGCTGCTAGTAAAGCTTTAGCTGGTACCTCAGAATCAGTCATGGCTGAACATGAAGGCATGTGGTGTTATCTCAAAGGATTTATTTCTGGGCCATATGATGGACATCCTTTTCTGTGAAGGAAAACATTTGTCATACCCTAACACAGGGGTAGGCAACCTAAGGCCCGGGGGCCGGATGCGGCCCCCTGAGGCCTTTGGACTGGCCCCAGGCTGGCCCTGCCGCCACCGCTGCCCCCCACCGCCTGCCATGATGATATTGATTATTGTTGTTATTACTTGTTCTTGGGGTTTTCTTGACAAAATCTCCACATGGGTTTTGCCATGGCTTTTCTGGGGCTGAGAGAGTGTGCATGCATATTTTTTAAATTTTTCAATTTTTAAATATTTATTTATTTATTTATTTATGGTGCTTCGGCCCCCCAATTGTCTGAGGGACTGCAACCCGGCCCTTGGCTCAAAAAGGTTGCCTACCCCTGCCCTAACATATGGCAAATTTGGTGTTGAGGTCAAAACTTCTTAATATGTGATGTTCCATTGGGGCAGGGAAGTTTTCAAAGGAAGTGCTCTGTCTGATTACTGCTGTGCCATTAAAAAACTAGTTCTACCTCTTATCAAGGCACAGTGCTGCTGTTTGGCCCTATGGTGCTGTGGTGGTTTACATGTATCACTCTTGCCTCTTTTGTGAACAAAGGACTGGCACATTACACACATTATAAAACTAGCTAACCCTCAGCCTCATGGGAGCTCTCTTAGCCAGTTCATCACATCTCCTTTCTGGTTCCCACCCTACCTTCCAATACTCCCACCACTCTTCTGAAAGTTATCTAATCACCTTGGCTTTAGGCAACATCCTTCCTCCTGCCTTTGTCTCCTGAACTTGGCATCTTATCTCCATACCCACAAGGTTTTGCATTTCTATTGCCATTCTCATACACAGCCTGCTTATATATCTCTATCCCTGGACCCTCAGCTCCACTCCATGTATCTGAGGAAGTAGACTTAAATTACAAAATCTCATGCTACTCATTTTTTCCCTTTTTCTTCCAGTTAGTCTCAAAGGTGCTACAAGCTCCTTTGCATAAAGGACTGTAGCCAGTGTGGTGTAATGGTTTGAGTGGTGGACTACAACTCTGGAGTTCAGGGTTTGATTCCCTGTTTGAGCATAAACCCCACTGGGTGACCTTGGACAAGTCACACTCCCTTCGCCTCAGAGGATAGCAATGGCAAACCCCCTCTGTAGAAACTTGCCAAGAAATCCCTATGATAGGTTCATCTTAGGGTCACCATAAGTCAAAAATGACTTGGAGGCACACAACAATAGTCTCATAAACTAAGAAGTCCTCACTTATACAAGCAGGTCTCTCCATGCAGGTGCTATAGGTTTCCAGCTCCATTAGGATAGTATCTCACTTGATGTTGCAGGGGTTTTGTGAATATTCACTGCTCTTCTTATGGTATATGATGCTAAGAATACAATAATGTCTACTTGTGGTGCTTGCAGGACCTCCTTGACATGATCTGGGGATATCCAGCTGGCTGCCTTTCCTTGTGTGTCTTCAGAGCCATGCATTTCTTCAGGCATTTTAGTAGTCACTGTGTCCATCACAGTGAAAACTAGAATGTGCCATAAAGTATGAAGTTGTCCAAAAACAATGTGTGGTTGCTTGACTCTGAGGCAAAGGTGTTTTATAAACTGAAAGTCAATGGCTCATTTGCAAGACATGGGTCATTGTAAAGTGGCTTGGAGATAAGTCTTCATGCTAATGTTATTTTGTTGCACAAACTGCACGCTTAAGAGATTGCAGCTTTCCCACTCCCAATAATGTCTAGAGTTGTGAGAGCCTTGGGAAAGGAAGGAAAAATAGATATACAGCTAGAAGAGAATCATGCAGTGATCAGTAGTTCCTACATCTTACTTAATGGGTATCTGAAAAGCCAGCGTGGTGTAGCGGTTTGAGTATTGGACTACAGCTGGAGGCCATGGTTTGAATCCCTGCTCAGCCAGCAAAACCCACTGGGTGACATTGGGGATGTCCCATTCTTTCAGCCTCAGAGGAAAGCAAAGGCAAATCCTCCCAGGAAATCCCTGTAATCACTTTAGGGTCACCATAAGCCAGAAACAACTTGAAGGCACACAACAAGTGCAGTCCTAAGAACCATAGATTTTAGTGGCTCTCTTAAGCACTCAGTTAAGTCTGATTAAATCTTGAAACAACCTGATGTATGCAGATGTATCACTGAATTGAATAGCTATGATTATAGAGTGCATATGCAACAAGACATCCATTGATTAATATCTTGAGAATATGAGTTAATTTATGACTTAACTCCATATGAGTTAGCATAGTGGGAAGATGGGTGTCAGGAATGAACAAGAATCAGATACAGGCAAGATATTACTGTGGATGAAGAACCACTTTCTTTGTTTCGCTTAGAAAGATGTTTCTGACAATACCAGAAGGCTGTAAACTTTTTCTGCCTTTCTGTTGTTTCTTTGGCAATCATCCTCTTAAACAGCTCAATTCCTAATCAATTGGGTCTATACTACTTAATAGCCAAGTCAGGAAAGCTTGGTATAACTGTTTATTTGACATTTAACTTTTAAGTGGTGGTAGCTGGAAAGGGAGATATCTTACCTTGGGAAAATTGAAGCTCAGAGCTGTAGATTACAAATAATGAGGGTGGGAAGTAGCCCTACTCTTCCCTTGCCTCTATCAGATTGTCTTTTTGGAAGGGCAGTTATCATAAATCCATCTTCCTTGCCAAAGACACATTGTTTCTGTTCTTCCTTCCAGACTTAAAAACAGGCATGGCAACTTAGAATCTCCTTCTGTTCTGGCATTGCTATTTTAGGACTAAATCCCAGATGTTAATCAGTGGTGCATTCACTTAACTGCAAACTTAGAAAGTTCTCATTGAGTCAGTGTGTCTACTGTAAATTGGATTTAGCTCATAGACTTTAATCACTATGATGATCACTGTGTGGTTGATATTGGAGGAGATCCATTTATCCTCTGTTTGAAAGCTAACCCTAACCCACTGAAAGAAAGCATCAGCTCCTGTCTGTCATTTGCTTCTGGGGCTACCGTAGTCTGGCTAGATATACTAGGATGGGAATTATGTGGCCCTCCAGATGTTGTTGGACTGCAGCTCCCAGCATGCCTCAACATTGGCTATGGTGGTTAAGGCTGCTGAGATTTACAGTCCAACAATATCAGAAGAGCTGTGTTTGTCCACCATTGCACAAACTAAAGAGCAAAACTGGGAACCATGGTATAAAAACCAAACTTTAAAATAAACTGTATTGTTGCTGATTGAATAGTGAGAGCTATAGCCTTAAAAGATACTTTGGGGAAATTAAAAAAAGTTAATTTTTTTAAAAAAATTAAATATGGATTATATTTAGACAGACTGGGAAGCAAATGAAGGGCCTGTACAGACTGCCAGAAATAATTCAGCTTGAGACCACTTTAACTGTCCTGGCTCAGTGCTAGGGAATCATGGGAATTGTAGTTTTTCTGAGCCATTGAGCCTTCTCTGTCAGAGAGCTCTGGTGCTACAATAAAATACAGTTCCCATGATTCTCTAGCACTGAGCCAGGGCAGTTAAAAGAGTCTCAAGCTGCATTATTCCTGACAGTCTGTACAGGCCCTAAGAGGCTCTTCAGATTTGGAAAAAAATGATGTTGATTTGTGAGAAAGAGAAATGATCAGGAGAGAAAAGTGTGTAGTACTTCAAAGTCTCAAGAAAGCATCTAAAGGGCTTTAAGCTTCTCTTTTGTTTCTTTTTTCACAGCAAGACATGTGTAATTAAAAAAATTTCTCATCAAATGAACTGTAGTATATACTAAGATATAACAAATGACCCAGTGAAATTTGGCCTTAAAGACAGGATCCAATACCTTTGTCATATGCACTGTTCTTCCATAGACATATCATAAGCAGGGTTGTGTGTTCTCCTCCAACCTTTAAATCCATGCCAAGATAGTCCTATTTTTTTTTTTACAGAATTTTATGAAAATCAGGTAAATATACATAATTTTGCTTTTTCCCCATCTTTTGTGCTAGTTATGGGATAGAGGAACTAACAAATGCAAAGTACTGGAGTCTTGCCTGCTGACCAGTACAAAGTCGATGTTATCTCTACTCTTGGTTTTTGAGATTTCACTCAGGATCCTTCCTATGAATCTGCTTTACAGCCAGAAGAAGTCTATATATATATATATAT